TATATTGATATGTTGTTTTATCATTGTTATTTATTTATATTTATTTAATTATTTTTTATTTATGATTATTATGTTATTTATTTGATTATTTATTATTCATTTTATCATTTATTTGTTATTAATGAATGAATAAAACATTATGAATAAATTAATAAAATAAATATTATTAATTCATTATGAAATGATAGTTAAATATCATATTATGAAATTAAATAGATAAATTAAATTAAAATAACATAGAATTCAATAATATTATGTTGTATTATATTATATAATTCAATTTTAAATTATAATATCATAATTTAATTAATTAAATTCATTTATTAATAATTATATTATCATTTATTTTATGTTTGAATTTTGATTATCATTTATTTTATTAGTATTTTATTATTAAAATTACATATTAAACATTCTTTATCATTTATATATTTAATTTTATTTATTATTTATTTCATATTTTATCATTTATTTTAATTATATTATAAATATATATAAAATGAATGTTATTTTACTTTTAGAATTAAATAAAATAAATATAAATCAATTTAATTTATGATAATCATATTTTATATAAAATATAGAATATTTAATCATTATATAAAATATAATGAAAATAAAAATTAATTTAAAATAAGAAATAACATTATACAATGTTTATAAATGTTATTAAATTAATATTTATTCTATTTGAAATGATTTAATGTTTATTATCAATCAATATATCATTGATAATTATAAAATTATTGAAAATTAATCATTTCATTCTTATAAAATGAAAATATAATATTCATCTAATTAATTTATTCATTTTTTATCTTTTTCTTATTTGAATTAATTCAATAATTAATTATTTATTCTTTATTTTATATTATTCATTCATTGTTATATTTTCATTATCTAATTATATTATTTCTGTTCTTATCTTGTTATGTTATTCATAAAAATTACTTTCATTTTATTCTTTCTTTTCATCATTTATTATTTTCTTTGTTAAAACTTTAAATATATTAAAAATTCATTTCACTTAGACAACAACACATGTGTCATCATAATAAGCACAATGGACGTAGATTTTCCCTATTCTCTTATCGTTCTTTAGTTTTTTTTCACATTTACATCCACCAAAACATTCATATCCTATTTCTTTAACTGATGATGGTATATTAATTGATTTTAATGATGAACATTCACTAAAACACCCATCTCCTATTTTTCTAATTGATGTAGGAATAACAAATTCATTAATATCTCTTTCTCGTATTGGTCTTCCATTAATTCTTTTTAAGTTATTAATAGGAATTGATACTAGTTTTTCTTTTCCTACAAACATTCTACCCTCACTAATAAATTGAACGTTTTCAATATTTATACTTGTTAATGATTCACAACCCTCAAAACACAGATACCCTATTTTAATAATTGGTGATGGTATATCAACTGATTTTAATGACGTACAATATAAAAAACATTCACATCCTATTTTAATAACTGAAGATGGAACATCAATTGATTTTAGTGATTCACATCCAAAAAAACAACATACCCCCTAATTCACTAACTGATGATGGTATATTTACTGACTTTAATGATTCGCATCCACTAAAACATTCATCTCCAATTTTAATAACAGAAGTTGGTATGTTAATAGATTTTAATGATGAACATTCATAAAAACATTTATTTCCTAATGATGTAATATATGTGGGGATATCAATTTTATCAATATCACAACATCCTTCAAAACATTCATCACCAATTACATTAAATCCTTCTGGAATGTTCAATCCATATTGTTTTCTGTCTTCTCTTGTATATACTTTTGTCATTGTTATTATATAGTTATTATCATTTCATTAAATAATAATGGGTGACGAATTATTATATTTTCTTTATTCTTCTAATGATGTTTATTTATTTATTTCTTTTACATTTTTTTATAATCATTACATAAAATTATTAATATTATTGTTAATGTAATGTTATTTGTATTTATTTTTATTTTATATTCATATTTTTATCGTTTTTATGAAATTTGTTCTTTTATTTTGTATTTATATTTTTGTTCATTTCTGTATTATTTATCATTGTTATTAATGTAATTGTTCTTTTTCTTTATATATTTCTTATTATAATTTATTTTGTTTGTTATTTTTATTCAATTCAATTATATTTTCTCATTTATTCTTATTTTATTACCCCCTTTTTATCTTGAAAAGTAACTTTCTATTTATTTTATTTGAAATTATTTAATTTTATGATTAAACATTATTTATAAAATAAATTCAATTTTAC